ATAGGGATACGAAGAAATAGATCTCAGACCGCAATTAAAATGTGGAATATACCAAATGAGTTAGATTAAAGATAAAAATACACAATTAGAAAAAGGTCTCATAGTACAGTTTAATACAGCTAAACAACATATAAGTGACGTATTCTGACTCCTATCTTAATCAAGCCGTTTTATTGTACTTTTGCGGTGTCCAATAACTTTTAATATCCTTATCCTCATTTTAGCCTTATGTCGGTTTTTTCAATCTAATCTAAAAACTAATACATCGCACACCAAGTCATTTGTAGTCTTGTATTCAAGCCGCTGAGCAAGAAATTTTCTAATAAATGCGTCTAATTTCAACTTATTTAGTTTAGATTGTCTCGTTTACGAGCGGTACCTGAATACAGCATACTTAGCGGTCTATAAATGTAATGCCTGCATTAACTGAATAAGTGCCTGAATAACTTATTAAACGTAACTGTTAAGCTAGACAGAAGATAAACGCAACATAATAAACAATAAATCATTAACTCCACCGCGATGCCGCTACACCACATCATGTTCTTATCTACTGATAAGATGTTAAGAATATCTAGATAAATCTAAATGATCTGTAACGGGCGGGGCGTTGGTCCTTCTCGGCTCCCGTAGTTCCTAGAAATTTGTCTCCATTCCAACAAACTGAGATCTCAGGCTGTTGCTCCTTACCCCGAGAAACACCAGCATAAAAAAACTGTAAGTAGACCAGCAAAACATGTGGTTATTAGGAAGATAAGCTAATAATAAATATGTGTTAATGTGTTGCTTGATTTTATGATTGAAGTATAGAGGGGGAAACATTTGTCCTGCTTTAGGCTGCTCCTACAATCAGTCCCTCAACTTTATTAAAGCTTTTTAGCAGAATGCATTGAAGGATTCTGCAACATATTTTAGATAAAAACTTTAAAACTGCAGAAAAGTCATTGATATGTTAACAAAATTATGAATTTAAAGGGATCTAGGAGCTGTCATTACTTTAACATAACTCTATAATCTAAACCAGGTCTTGGGAGAAAAGCTTTATGTTCAATGTCTCCCTTTTGTTCTTCTTGTCCTGCAGCAGCTTCATCATGGTGCAGAAAGTCGCAGTGATCGGGGCCGGCCCCTCTGGTCTCACCAGCATAAAGGCTTGTCTGGATGAGGGCATGGAGCCAACCTGCTTTGAAAGCAGCGA